AGGATCTAACCAATCTGGTTTTTCCAATCAATGTATGAACATTCCTGCAAGGCAATTATCTTGGATAGAAAAATGTTCATACTTCAAGGAAAAGTGTGTAACAATTATGTTTATGATATAGAAAATGTATATTAAGGAAAACTGATAGATCAGGCAGATGTATACAAAGTCATATATGTTAAAGGAAAATGGGTGGAAAATTCATATGGGTTTTTAAAATGATGTGGAAATGCTTCTGAACAAATGTGGGAGGACAAAACTGTAAAAGTGAGATTGGTTCCTTTAGGTAGTCACATGAATTCTACAGACCCCACTTTATTATATGCAGGGCTTGCAACTGCCCTTAATTTCTACACAATTATTACTTATTTTCTTATCGCATACAGGTCTCCATAGAAATAAAAGAGGTTGGCCGCTACCATTTAAGATTTACTTTCCGTCACCGCTCATCACAGGAATGTAAGCATGAGAGAGAGACAATATCTCTTTGATTTTGAAGCACAGAAGGGTTTGTGGAGAAGGCAGAGGGAAGAATGGAATGTGGGCTATGGATTATTCATTACCTTTCCACCCCAAATTGTAGTTTTCTGAATCATTCATTTGCAAAGAAGCTCTTTATTGAACAAAATAATCAACCTCATTTGGCTCCCTGTATGTGTGCGCAGCTTTGCTAAATCCTGAGATGATGTCAGCACAGCCTAAAACAGCAAATCATGTTGCATCTCAATTATGGTTAAGAAAAGAAAATTATCATTCTTCCAAGTACTGATGGGGAAATTGCATTTGGCTGTTCTCTTTGAAATCCCTCAAATCAGCGAAGGGCTCCAAAGTGGTGCACCCTATTTTTATCAAAACTTGCTCTGAATAGCCAGATATGCAGCCTTAGAGCATCAACTCTTCTGTTTCTGATCTTCAAACGGCAAGCACCTTTCCTCCATGCAGCCAAAATAGTCCCATCCGCTTAAGAGAGAAGTATTTAGAGGTTTGCAGAAGTAAAAACTACAGCAGAAAAAGCAGTAATCCAGTGAGGGGAGCATGTTCAATAGCCATAGCTGCCACTCTGAGCCCCTGTACAAAAGGGATATAAATTAAAGAAATACAAATGCATAAATCAGTGTTTCTCAACCTTGGCCACTTGAAGATGTGTGGACTTCAACTCCCAGAAT